AAAATTAAACTTATATATACATATAAATATGTATATGTACATATATAAATTTATATGCATATATATACATATGGAAAAAATATACATGAGCTGACAACCCATTTTGCAAAATGGACTGCCACCTCAATGCCATGTGAGCCCCCGTGCTAGTCACATCAGGGTGCGGTTCACATGGCAGTGACTTGGCAGCTTATTTTGCAAAATGAGATGCCAGCTCATATCCAGTATCCTCTACACACATGTGTGTGTATGTGTCTATATATATATATATATATATGTGTGTGTGTGTGTGTGTGTGTGTGTGTAAATAACACATATATGTACACATGTATAGATATGTATGTATATACACACGCACACAAATATCAAAATGTATGTGTGTGTGTGTATATACATACATACATACCTAACCCAATTTTCCCTTCTTTCTCATTTTTTCTTCTTCTTCCCAATTTCTTTGCAGGCAGTCATGAAAGTTGTCTCCAAATCATCCATTGGTTCTTCAGGTTATGGTGCTTCTCAAAGTAAAAGAGGTGGAGAGATTAGGAGCGGGAAAGCTATAGTAAGCGACTTTTTTCCTTTTAACCTTTTAAACTTTTGATAAAATTAAGACATAATATTTAAAGATGGTATTTTTCGATAATTTTTATGTCAAGTAAAAGTGGAATAGCGTTTACGGCTAAAAGTCAGTTATGATCTGGTTTGATAATCTAGACTAAAATGGTCAGAATGTATAACTATGCAATTAACTAAGAACATAAGGGAGATGTTTTTGGTTACTATTCTTTGTTATCTGAAAAACTTCTTAAATTATGTTAAGGAGTATGATGTGATTAGGAAACATAATATTTGAAAAATGATATTGTTTAGATGATTTTTATGTTTAATAGTATTAGATGACTATGTCTAGATGTCAGTTACAATCTGAACATGTTTCATGATTTAGACTATAATAATCTGAATTCATGCTCTTCTAGTGATATATCAACTAAGAACAAAAGAAAGATGTCTCCCGTTACACTTCTATGTTATTCGAAAAACTTCTTAAATTAGCATGGATATCGAGTTAGGTTCAATTCTTGATAATGTCAACTGATCTAGTCCGGTGCAAATCTTTTCAAATTATAGAGAGCATACAGCTTGAAAGCTATTTTTATAACTATCTTACATTTTTTGACAAAATAATGCTTTTATATAATTTTTCAAGACAACTTATTATATTTTCTAATACAAGTGTTATGCCCATGAAATATCAGTGTTTTTTATCTCATTTGGGCTTCCTTTATAAATTAAATTTGCATTAGTAATATTGGATATTATTACATGTTTGTTCTATGCAATATACAAATGGGAAAAAAATAAAGAATATAATATATAAATTTAAATACTTCTTTT